GTTTCGGTTGAAAAAAGTCATGGGTGAAGGAGTTATGACCCCCGACCTCCCTGGGGGGTGGGGGGACTTGGAGGGCAGGGGTCCTAGAAAATTTCTCTCGTCATTCTGAACAACTTTGTAGTACATTATTTTTCGATCTGACCAAATTTTGACATGGTGGGGTACTCCCCTGCCTCCCCTATTTCGATTGGGCCCCCCTTATTTTCACAAATTTATTTTTTCGGCACATTATACCGATCCATATAGGTGAAATTGAAAACTTTTATTAACACTTCGATACCTTTACTGGTCAGCAAAGAATTTATTTCATCGACTAGATAATTTTGGATATCATCAGATACAATAATAAATAAATTAACTGGGATGCTGAATATAAATGGTATCAGAATAAAATTGGGTCATTTTCAATTGGTCATAATATTGACATATGGTGACATATAATCAGAAAAGGTCTGTTGGTATGTTTAATCTTATGTATGGTAAAATAACAATGTTGTGTCAAAAGTAGTAAAAAGATTTCGACTAGACGTTTGACTATACGTCAATATTTGTTTAGATAAGAGTCGAATTTAGATGAACTGAATTTAAAATAAAAATATTTTTGTTTTTAATCAAATATTTATTAAGACATTCGTAAGAAATAATGATCTCAACCAAATGGAATTATGATCTTTGCAAATGAGTCGTTTAATTTTTAAAATGATATGATTTTCAAAATCTAAAAATCATCAGTTTTTTTCATTTTGTTCGTCTATTATCTGTTCTGTTGATGAATGATTATCACGCTTGAGTTTTTCTTCTACCTCTTTCGGTGTTATACGTGGACTTAGGAAGTATAGCATTTTTGCAATTTTTTCTATAAAAAGTCATAGTTAAACAACATTTATAGTGAAGTTAATTTCAATGTTATAATAAATACTCAACAAAAGGAATCGTACATACCTGGTGTCTTTGGATCAGACATATTCTAGAATATACGAATAATAACAGAAGTCTAATTAATAAGACACCAAAAAAAAATCGGTCAAAAATAGATCTGAGAGAGTGATAAGCGAAATTTTGGAACTATTCGTTCATAAGTGGAGCAAACTAAAACTCACCGTTTTTGCTTTGTATTTCACCAAAATAACTTGTAATATTAATTGAAAATTGGTAATTCTTTTCTTCAATTGTTTGATTGGTTCATTAATTTGATCAGACAATCTATGTTTACCAACGAAATTTAAAGTATTTGCCAAGCTCTTTAAGGACAATCAAATAATGAACCATTGAATAAAGAAAACCACTAATTGACTGATTGATAATCGTCGATGTTTTGCAAAGTTTGTCTGTATCCAATGAAATGTATCAAGTTAAGTGAAATCAGAGAATATTCTGTATATATATCTCAATTGCTAGTTGTTTATAAACGAATATTTTTATAAACACTTGACTGTCTGTGCCAGTTAATTTTTAAAAAAATATTTTGATATACGAATTGATTTATTTTCGTTTGTTGTTTGGATAATGCATGTGATGTTTGCATGTAATGAAAACTAATTCGATAATTCTGAGTCAGAGGGAAGTTAATAACAGACACTTGAAAAGCCCTTCATTTGATTTTCAATTATGTTTTTATTATTTATATATGCATAATAATTCCATACAGTTACAAACTGTCTTATTCTAAACACAGAAAGTGGATACAATTATGCTCCAGTTCTGTAAAAAGTATTCTGAAAACGCATTTAATACGTTTCAACAATTCCGTTTATATAATGAATAACAAAAAAAAATATAAGTAAAAAAAGAAAAGAATTTATTTATTGCCAAAAAAACGTTGTTTTTAACTATTTACAAACATTGAATGAACGGACGGCGACAATTTTGGTCACAATAATTGACAAATAATAAATTAACATGAAATTTATTTTCGTTGCTGAATATATATTAAGAGTAAAATTGAAAATTTAATATTAAATGGCATCAGTATAAAATTGTGACATTCTTTTTTTCAAATCAGTAAATAATAATAACATGTAATCAGTATGGTTGGACTGCTGCCAACCCTACTCTACCGCTATTACGTGGCATCGGGTCACGCATTGGATTTCCACGTGACGGCGGTTCGGCATAACTGTGTCGGTATCCTTTGGCCAAATTGCCAAGTGATTTCGATGGGGCCATTCGTGTTGCCGAATTTTTTTCATAATGTTCACGTTCGCGCGGAATGATTCGAACATTTGGTGGTGAATTTCTGCCGAATTCCTCATCTGAGCTCCAATCAACCGAAACTGAATTTTGACGAGGTGGATAATGTTTGGGTGGTGGTGGTGGTGGTGGAATCATATCAAAATCAGGTCGTGGCATCGGTACCATTCGTCTTGAATGTTTTGATTTCTCGATTGGATGTGCTCGATCGATGTCTTGACGGTCTTGACGATACCGATCCATTTGTCTAAAATTTTCATTTGAATGATGGTACCGTTCCTTTGGTCCATCATGAATTTCGGGCGAAATACGTTTCATATCTCTGTAACGTTGTCGATTGCCACTGTGCTCATTTGGTTCATATACTCCACGATATTTTGATGGATATGAATGTGGTGCAAAATCTTTTTCACAATCACTCGTGCATTCATTGTCGTATTCGTTATCTCGGTATTCACTATCATCATATGACTTGTATCGCATTACCGGCGACTTGATACATTCAGTTTTCTCACGATACGGCATAATTTCTGGCTCTTTGTATGGATTTCGTTTTTCAAAATCATCATCAAAGCCGGGTGCTGGCATTTTCCCTTTGTAACGATACTTTTTGTTATCAATCGTACGCTCGTCCATATCGTAATACGGTTTCGTCGATTTTATCGCTTCATTTCGATGTAAACTTTTTATTTCGTTACGATTTGAATTCTCTTTTGGACGAAATCCATCGTCATAATATTCACGAGTATTTTGTTGTTTTTTCATCAGCGATTGATGATACTTTTGTTTATCCGTTAAATTTTCACTGTATTCATGTTTAGCATCGTCTTCAAAACTGTCGCGACTTTTACGTAGTCGTTCGCTTGAATTATTGTATCCACCTTTTGATTCATGATATCGATAACGATGCTCTTCTTCGGGTTCGTCTACATCTTTTGTTGGTGCACTTTTTGTTCGTTGAACATGTTTTGAATTGGAATTGGTGTGAACCAATTTTTTCTTATCAATACTACGATCATAATGAACGCTATCGTTTTTGAAAAATCGCTCGTCATTGCTAAACTGTTGATCGGCATCATTGTCTTTCTCATCCGAATATCTTTCGCTCAAAATTTGCTTGAAATGTGCGTCCAAATTTCGTGGTCGAACCAATTTCGGTTTGATTTCTTCTTCTTTTGGCGGTGAATCGGTCGTATCATTGTCACTATCGCCAAATTCTCTGGAACTCTTGCTGGCTGGAATAATATAGGCTGGCTTTTGCAATGGATACAAATAAGATGGTGGCTTTTCGGAGCGTTGCACCGGAACAACAGGCTTTTTCTCAATCTTTGAACGATGCAATGATGAAGCGTTCACCTTCGACTCTGAGTCGCGTTTCTTCAACATCCAGTCATCATCTATTGGACACAAAATAAAACATTGGTCAATTTTCCAATTAAAAATATAAGAGATAAAAAACTATTCGCTAGCTCGAAAGTGACTTACCCGAAGAGCTTTGGCCCTCTTGTCGTTCGGGACTGGGTGCCAAGTCTGACCCAATGCCAGATGAACCACGCGATGAAACGCCATGCTTTTTTGATGCTTCATTATTTGTTGTTGCGCCAACAATTAGCTTATTACGACAGCGACGTAATTCAATTGCGGCTAAATTGCCTTTTGAACGATGCATAGTATCATAATCTCTTGGTGGCAATAATAATGGTGGACCATTTCCGTTTAATTTTGCACGTAATTCAGCCGCAAGCGAATCGAAAATGGACGGTTGAGTTGGCGATAAATCGACCGATGTACGTTCTTCACTGCCTTCGTCCGATTCGCGTGTACTTGTGCCCGTATCGCTGCCCAATGACGAATCAAATCGTTTGCCACTCACATTTAATGGTGGTGGCGGTGCTGCTTGCCTCTCGTCCGATCGATGATGTGAAGAACGTTTAACTTCTTTAGCTACATGCTTTGACTGCGATGGCACAGGTGGAAGAGAATTTCGAGCAGTCGGCGAATTACTTGATAATCCCAATCTTCAATAAACCACAAAGAAGAAAACAATCGAATTATGAATTCTGAAATCTGAACATTTACATCACAGATACAAAGCGCATACCTTGTTTCTAATTCAGCAAAACGTTTTTGATTTTCCGGTCGATTGATGAGCACTTGCAATTGCTGATTCAAAGCTTGCGCAGTAGACTCTGAATCGCATCGATATGCATGAATGTGCAATGGACATTTTGTAATTGGATTATATAGCAATAAAATGCATGCCACTATGTCATCTGAAAAGAAATAACAAAAGTCTTCGTAATTTCGATATAATTGTGGTTTCGGTCTTCGTTTCATTTCCTTAAGTTGATGCAAATGCCCAATGACCGAATAATGATTGGATCATGTTTACTTACCTGTTTGAATCGAACACGTTATTGCACTGTGCGTAATGAAATGTTTCGATGTACCCTGAAAAGACACCGTAATTTATGACAACATTAATATTATTCGCCTGATCTTGTTCAATAAACTAAATGGGACGGGAAGTGATAAAATGTTTTTTTTCTTAAATGCATCGAAATCAGTAGAAATTACCTGCACAATTTTCATGCCTTTGTGCGATACTTGAAGTGTTACTTTGATTGGATCGATTTCTTGTGATCGATCCACGATGTACGGTATGGCTGATAAGAGAATTCGAGAACCGCGCAATGCCCGCGATTCTTCAGCTCCCATGAAGAATACATAATAGGACGCTTTTTGAACGTCTTTGCGCAAAAGTAAGGCCATTTTTTCTTTTCTATTGCTTCAATTCGGCTGCGTGTATAATTTCGATTCACCAACTTGAATCGTATACACAAATTTCCTCAATTGCTGCAATTTTTTCTTATTTTTAATCTCTCTTTATTTTCTCTTCTTATTTTCAGCTACGACTGTTGCTGGTGGTACACGCGTTACGCGTCAGATTCAAAATTCAAACTAACTCAGCACAGTAATTCGATTCGCTTGGCATAACTAAAGCGAGAATGAAAAAAAGAAAGAAATTTTAATGTTAATTTGTTTATATTTTATTAACTGTATATGTCTAGTATGTAGAAAAGAGAAATAAAAAAAAAACAAGAATTCTAATTTCGGAGAATGTCGGAAGCAAATGACGATTATTTGCAGTGATTTGCAATGTATAATAATTCATTCATGGCTGAGCTTGATCTTGAGAAATGTGAATTGAATCGTGCGAAACTTTTTCGATTTTTATGTGAATTACCATTTCGACGTGTATTGAAATTAAGAGAGTGGATTCGACTACATGGTTGTCTACGACAAAGAGAAATGCCGGAGAAATTCTGAAATTATATTAAAGTTTACAGTAAAATATTTTGTGCACGGAAACGTAGCGGAGTTTGAAATTGTTGTTGTTTATTTTTCATTCAATTCATTTGAAAAGATGATGACTTCTCACGTTAATGATGTAAAATGAAAATGTTGATTTCATAAAATAGCTTTACACACACAAAACAAAATATCACAATGTTGTTGATGCAACCGCATTGAGAGCATATAACACAGCGATTGCGTTTATCGTGTTTATTGTTCCATTGTGGCTTGATTATGCCGATAACAAGTCGCTTCTATTCGTCTCAATGCATACACACAATTTTCGATGAATACACCAGCCAAATATAAACAGATAATGCTGCCAAACAATAAACGCTTATAAATAATGTCAAGCTTTGAATTTATTTGGAAAACAAAAAACACAAAGATATTCAACCCAATTCCAAAATGAAGATAGAAAAGACAAAATGAAACGCAAAAATGATTTTATAGTAGCACAATAAATTCGCTAATGACCGGGCCTATCCAATGGAATCGCTTTTGCATTCTGATGAAGAGGAAATGTGATTGTCTTGTTAATAAGCGGTCAAAATCTGGTTAGACCTCACAATAACTGACGCAAGCAAAACGATTTGCTTTGTGTGTGTGGTGATACAGCTCACCAGAGTAGACTGTAGACTCATTATTTTCGTGAACAGGCAAATGTCAAGGCAACATTGAGCGGTCATTTTCAATGGTCGAATAAATATTAAAATTATCAGAATTAAGGCTTCACGATTCACCAGCGTTTGGAGCAATCACAAGCACTGCGCCATTTATGAGATCTCAATGCTATTTTGTCAGTTGCTAAAAAAACAAAAACAATTTATAATTTCCTGTTTGTATACACTTGTATGTACGGAATGTAGCTTCTTCATTTATATGTGCTTGGAATCTTTCTTATGAAAATATCAAGCGCTGAATGCAATGACTTATTGTCTCTCTCGTTCGAATCTCAACGTGTTTGCAAAACAATTTGCGCAGGTGAAACGTTTACTTTCGTATCATTTATTTATGGCATTGTGTTTTTCTGTGTCTGAAGGAGATAAAGAAATGCGCACAAAAATATTATATTTTTTTCTTCTTCATATGTTTGCTATTGAAATGGTTTATGTTGGGAAAACATGTGGTGTTTGTTGTTGTTTTGTGAATGATGGCGCGGATTGCCTCTTGTGATCTGGCACGCGTGTACTTGCCATTGTACCTCGCCACATACACACAACCACATAAATTTGATTTAATTAATTAATGAATTGCTGATGAATCATTAAATTAGCATCATTATTGTCGAATTTTGTGAGATATAGAGAAAAGATGTTTGGATTGGCACATAATTTTTTTTCCGAATATTTTTGAGTGTCTATAGACTATAGCTAGTATATTGAATAACCCGTATAAAAGAAACAGTATCACTTTATAATCGAAAGTGAAATGAAGGTACACATATACAAAAGAGACATCAATCAAATGGATAATATTTAAATGCAGCAACGAAGAGAAAAAAAGGCGCTCAAATTGAAAGCAATTTGTGTAAATGACTCACGGACCAGAGATAGAGAGATTCGCATTTTAAACAACATGCAAAATGTGGTAAAAGTTTCATCAATTTCTAAGAATTGTATCTTCGTTCGGTTCAGTGCTTACCAATTGAAACGAGATGGAAAATTAATTAATAAGCCATAATATATGTATGTTCACTCGTTTATAACAAAAGCATTTAAAAGTAAAAAAAATTAATAATAATGTAATAATGACCGAATGATGTACCGAATTGCCACATATTTTTTTATATTCATTTTGAACAAGTAAATGTTGTTGTACAAAGTCAATTTGTATCGATCTTTTCACGCTCACACATAGGTACGCACGCACGTAGAGGTTATTGTGTGTACGAATTTGCGAGAGAGTCTAACCTTTTTTTTATATTGTTATATAGTTAAACACTAGAGAAAGAAAAATGATCAATGCAAACGATTGATGGCTGTCATATGAAAATCAATGATGATGGTAATTTGCATGATAGATTTTAAAAACGGCACGACGTCAACATCGCTCAAAAGAGAAAATCACCATTCTATTGGTGTATCGAATGCAAAACAAAAAAAAACGTTCAAATACACACCATTTTTTTCTTCTGTTAAATTAATCGATATGTGACTTTTGAAAACGTTCAACGTCCAATGATTACGATGATGATGGTGATGTGTGTGCTTGTGCATAAAAATCGGTGCCGTGTAAAATGCTTTTGCAGCGCGAAAACTAGGCGAATCAATAACATGCGGCAGAGAAGAGTGAAAGAGAAAATACCATTAAAGCTGAATATATGTACGTTCTTGGTTGACCGACATGATGGTCATCATCGCAGCGTTTCTTTTTCACTCTTTGATTTCGTTGCTAGCCATTGTGTTTCTTCTTTTGCCATTCATGTGTGTGTGTATTTTACTTTTTACCTTTTCAAATAAACGCAGACATGCGAACTAGTTTCATTTGCTCTTCTTTTGTTGTCTTCGTTTTTTATTATATATATTTTTCATTTTTGAATGGTGAGCGATTTTTCGGTGTGCGGTGATATTCTGCACGAAAGTCGCGTTACATTAATGCAAGCATTTAAAAGTGCACCTTGCCAGAGCTTCGAAATGCGAACACATGCACCACGAATATGACCCATTGTGTGTGTGCACAGACTGAATGGAAATGGTAAACATGATGTCAGGCCAGAAAAACCAGATTTTATAATTTGGTGAAAATCGAAATCAGAAGGAAAAAAAGACACAAAAGAAGAAGAAGAAGAAGGGAAATTCCAGAGAATTATAAAGGTGACTAGTGACCGGTGACCGACAAAAAAGTATACACATTGTAATTAACATTATATGTTGGGGCGGGTGCTAAGTTGTAACTTGCACACGTCTTTGTGCACAAGTGATCGAATAAAAAAAACAACAACACACAATCAATGGACTTTCCCGCACAAATCACAATCATAATAAACGAATAATTGAAGTAGAGGCCGTTAAATGTTTCGATGTATGTGCAGTAGTGTGCTCAACTCATAGTTTCTAATTTCTTTTTCAGCTGTTTCATCATATGCCGCGCTTACGCGAACAAACGAAATGAAATAGAAAACGATTTGACCGCTCGGTTCATCGAAATAATTTTTTTTTTATTTTTCATGTCAACTTTTAATTGCCTGGTTTTCAGCTCTTTAACTCATTACAACCAATAATGAGATCCATCTAGGTGCTATTAGGTGAAAATAATTGATAAAATGTATATATGTGGCTTCCACGAAATCCACTTATGTCGTCAATCAACAAGGTTAAGATTAGGTTATGCGGTTTTTTTGATTATAAACATTTTCTATTTTGTTTTTGTTTTTTCTTTTCTACATAAGCGGGTGAAAACGTGCAATAAAAAATAGAAATGAAAACGGATCTCTACTTTATGTGGTGATGGTCTGACATCATGATGTCTTTCTCACTGAATGTCAACGCGAAGCGGCAACAGCAGCAACAGTTATAATAACAATAATTGGGTAGCAAGCGGTTTGTCTGTCTGTTTAACCGAATTGAGCAAGAAAGTCGAAATGATCGAAATCAGATGAGAACGTTTTCTCTCCAACAACAACAACATCATCATCGGCAGCAGCAACATAAAAAAAACGAGATGAAAAATGGCAAAGGCCATGAAATCGAAACCGTGCACAACCGAACGCTATGAGAAAATCAAATTTTCATTCATTTTTATCGGCAAGTGTCACGATTGTTTCGACATCATTCGCCACAATTTGCATTGCTTCAAGCAAAAGAAATTGCAATAATCCGCAGATATTTTTCCTTCAACATCGTTCGTTCGTTCAGTAATAATAATCCAGGTCAAATGGAAAAGCATCGAATGTGCTTTTGTCGAGAGCGCATGCACATCCCGAACAGATAGGAAAAATGGTTAAAAAAATAGCAAATAGCAGGTTTCAGCGAATGCAGCAAAATAAATGGGCATCGCGTTTCGGTTGTATCGGCACTGAAAGCGCAATTAACTTTAACGTGCCGCTTTATGCACACACAAAACAAACCCTAATAAATTGATTGATTTAGTTTTTGCTCTCGCGAACACACACTCACAATGCATTGAATCGTTTTATTTGTACATCATGTTCTTCGCGTTGTTCGCCAAATAAGAAAATCAGTCGTGTTTCTGTGTTATGAAACCGATGAATATTGATCTCACTTTCACTTTAGTTTTCAGTTCATACAATTTATTCGAACTCAATACGTATTGATCGCCATCGTCGTCGCTTTCGTCGCTGTTATTGTCGTCGTCATTTTTGATGTATCGCTTAATAAAAAAAATTATTTTCTCATTTTAAGCCTATATCATATACCATTCCAATTGGAATCCGCTCACTTATTTACGCGTGTTTACATCTTTATATCGGCCGACATGCAAAAAAAGACCTACTGATTGAAAACGATTCGGATTATAAATGAAAATAAAAACTAGCTAGATGTTAATCGCGACACTAATAGAAATTCCGATAAACAAATTTTTGCAGAAAGTATTTTTTTTTCTTTTCTCTTGTTGGCGTAAATATGAATGCGAATTAAAGTGAAAACCGCTAAAAATATGCGCGACAAAAACTATGC